TAGCCTTAGCACTGGTTGTGAATAGTATAAGGGATAATTATAAAAAAACTCAGAAATAACTAGTCGCTCCTTCAATACATTGTACGTATGGATTGTTATCAATATTCATTGTATAAGCCTCACGCTCATTATCAAGAGTATTAAAAATAACCACGGATGGAGAATTTCTTTTGGCTGTTGTTGACACATTAAGACGGAACAAATTTCTATAAACTCACATGATATGCAGTGCCTATCACTCAAAATGCGGCTAACTTGAGCTAATCATGAGCAAACAACATTCAACGCATCAATATTTACGTGAAAGCTACTTTTCACAATATACATTAATCCACACGTTGCCAAACCTTGTCAAAACAAATTAAGAGATAATGACCATAACAAAACTAACATATCTGATGTGCTAGCATATATTTGATGGAACCATGATATTTCTTTGCTTAGATGCCCATGAAAAAGAGCAAGGAATGAGATTCATGCCAAATCAACCTACTAGGTTAAAAGCATAACAACTTCTTCTTGCTTTAGCTTCACACGTCTCAATTTTATTCATCTATACTTTTTGACAAACAAGAATGATCCAAATTCTTCAATTTTTGAAGTGCCAAACTGAGGAAAAATGATAGATTAAACATCGCTTCTGTATGTACTTAAATGAAACTAAATTGCTCTTGTTGAGTCATTTCACCCAATGGGAATGATAAGCCATATTAAGTACTACGTTGTTTACTGCTACTAAATCCGTGCCATTAATACAAGGAATAGATGGATCAAACAAATAAAACAATTAGTGTATTTTCTATTTAATTGCTACTTTCGCGTGATCCATAGATGTCAAACACTAGCAAATATATTATATTTGAAGAAAAAAATACAATACAATAAAACCTTCGTATAAAATGCATCCTATTTGCTAGAAAATAAAATCATTTTGTACCTTATAGAATAGATGTATTCTATATAAAAAGCTTAACGTAGATTTTTCTTAATCTGCTCACAAATTCACAAAATATTTTGTTACAAGAAAAAGTGTTCAACTTTTTATTGTTTTAATGACAATTGTAAAGATTATTGACATTGGCACTCAAGTTTAGTAAATCAAGTTCCTCACTTTACACTTAATGTTTTTTTGCAAATCCTGTTAATCGAGCAATCGCTTCTTTTGCTTGGAAGATGAAAACTACTTTTGCAAACTCTGTCTCCTATGAATTTTCAAATTTGACAAGTGATTCTTTGATGTCATACTCATTTGCAACATAAGTGTGCTCCTTGACTAGATGTTGTATCAAAGTTTGCTCTTTAACTACATCAAATTATGGTAAGTACTATTTGATGACTGTCTTATCTTGAGCAATGCCAATTTTGGAAGCAAGACTATCAAGCTTTTTTTCTTTTTTTAGTAACCTCACTATCATTTTAGGCCACATCTTGATTTACAACAAATCCATATCTTGCAAAACATTTATCATTGTTTCTTCCTTTATCAGACCCCACGCATTATACATGAACTTGATTGCATTTAGAACCGTAAGTTTTTTTGCAAGTTCTTATGCATGAACAAAATTGTCAATCTTCTTCGATATGGCAAGGATTTCAAATTTTTGGTAATGAGCATACAGACTGCAAATTATACTAGCATCTAATGATTGCAAGACAGAAGTGAGATTTGGCAAAAAGAAGTTTACTTCTACGTTTGACAACATTGTGATCTCATCAACAATGTGGACTGGGACATTATCTAGAAAATACAACATGTTTTGCTCTATCTCTTGAAATGATCATCAAGATATTTTAATTATGGATTAAATAACAAATTTGTCATCCACGCTTTTGCACTGTGGGAATACTTAGCTTTAAATTTTTTCATATTGTAACTATTGAAGTATGTCAAATTCTTTGATTTGTCAATGATCGATGGTGGCAGTTTATTGCCCATCACTAAGTAAGTCAGAGCTATAGTAACTAGGTCATTTCCTTGATTCCACTCTTGCATTATTGTTTAATGTGATTCTATGTTGATACTGATAATGCACAGAAAGAATATCAAATAGTCCATGTTAAAGACGTTCTTCATATCATATCCAATGAGCATGGATTGCAAACACAAATTCTATTGACCGACTATGACTTGATGTATTTTTTAATATTTGCCGCTTTATTCTTAGTAAGTTTTATGCAGATGCATCATCAAAATTGATGCAACAAACTTATATTTCAAGAGTTAAACTCTATTTATGAGATAAATAAATAAGATATTTACAATTTTATTACTAAAATAAGAAAAATAAGGTAGTCAAAGTGTCGTTAGTAATTGTTAGAGTTGTATATCAATAAATCTACAAACATCAAAACTTTATTTTTTATTCAACTTGAACCAAATCTGAAGAGATGAAATGTTAATGAAAAAATCAATTTTCAATTGTATTTGATTCCTATGTTGTGTATTTTCACCGCTAAAGAACATTACTGAAGTATTTCACTTAATACGCAACTATAACATTCACATGATGTCTTCAATCTCTAATTCAATAGATGAAAATTTACTTTTTCAATAAACACAAGCATAAACGTGAAAAGTATTTAGTATCTTGTAGTCACTTAGATGACCCAAACTTTATCCCACATAATCGTTAGCATTAACTCATAGCGCAACTTCTTCTAGAAAACTCTCAACAATATCCTTGGTACTTAGTGCTTAATAAATTATTATATGTCTAAAAGTTAGCATGAACTCATAGCACAACTTCTTCTAGAAAATTCACAACAATATTCTTTGATCTTTAGTACTTCATGAACTATTATCTATCTTTAAAATGTTAATATTGACTTTTAGCTCAACGTATTTTAGGAAATATTGTCTCACGATAATATTTTTTGATCTTTTGTATTCCATAAATTATCACATATTTAAAATTTTCTTCTAACCTTTAATAGAATTTTTTTGCACATTATTTGTCACTATTGAGTAAATTAATCCAGTTCACTATATTGAAGTGAAGATGCTTGGCTTGACTTAAATCTTTAAATATTCTTTGTGTGACTTTGGCTAACAAGTATAGTGTATAGAACATTGTCCAGACTCGACTGCAATGTACAGCAGAATCACGCCACCCTATCAACTTTTTAAAAAAGCACTTCCCGCCAAAAGTGAACTCGATTAACTATTCCATTCATGAAGAATCGTTCTTACTTCTGCTTCTTAACCGCAACTGGTGCCCACTGTAGAAAAGTTGAACTTGAAAATGAAGTTGAGTTTACATTGACCGGCTCGTTTGAAATCCAAATTTATAGATTTTCTATTGATCTTTTAAGAATGAACCCTTTTGCCTTGCTTTCATTTTTGTAGCCATACTTGCTATGTAAAAACCTTGATTGATTTGATCTCTGGTTCATGAGCAATTTCTTTAGCTTTCTCTTGCAGACTTGGTCAGCTGATTGGATATCCATTTGCAGGGACAATGACAAACCATCTCCATAAAACAACGTTGATGTCGCTTTGTTTAACAATTTTTGCTTTCGATAGCGAGTGATTGCTCTCGGCCATACAACAAGACATTTCTACTAACCTTGGTAACTTGGAATGTACCTTTGAAGACTTTGAACTTCTCCATTGTGGCTCTGATGCTATGAGCTTTGTCAAGGTGCTTGACAATAGTCAGTTTTGAGCTTAGATCCACAAGTTGCCTCTTCTTTCGATCTTGTACCATTGCTTCTACGAGCTAGATAGAGTGTTAGTGTATCTTGGGGCCAAGCCACAAGACCGGCAGCAGCAGTGAATTCTCGCTTGTCATTGGCAGGCCAGTTATACCCTTTACTCCAAGAGAGAGCAACAATTTAACATATCCTAGGTGGCAAAGAAATTGACTGTTGCACAGTATCAAGCACTTCCGCATGGAAACCCTGTTTTTTTGAGATCGATGGACTCCACGTGTATTTTTGCGTCTTCTTGCGTTACTCCTTCACTGACTACTTCCCACTGCATTGCAATTCGATAGAGACATTTCTCCCTTTTCACTTCGAAGTCAATGTTGGCCGTGTGGTAGAGGTTACTAGATTATTTCCAACTGACCGACTAAGGCATGCGAGAACCAAATTTTCTTTTAGCCAAGAGGTTAATGCCGGCTCTCTTGGCAACGAACTTATATGGAATTGTGTGGTTGCTCCCTGGACGGGGCAGCCACACAGTTGAAGTATTTAATAGAGATGTACTTTATATAAAGAAATTTTCAATACAAAAATAAAAGGGTTTGCTTTTACAAAGAAATTATGTACCTTTTGTGGAGGTGTACTTTATATGTAGGTCCTACTGTATCTCCTCTTGGCCATGCCTTGAGGTGTGTGTCCAAATGGTCTGATGATTAATTTTTGCTCACTTCTTTGGCCTACCAGCATATGTACCTAACCTTAACTTAGACAAGTTGAGTAAATAAAAAGCATGGTCCTTGCAGTACAATGTATCTGGCGCGACTACCATGGCAATGAATGGCAACTACATTCGTCACATTAACATTCGTAAGTAAACTTATACAAAAAGTTGCCGTTACCCGCCAGTCAACCTTCTCAACAATGAAGTGTAACTAGGCTAGAGTGAATGCCTATGTATACTGAAATAGTGCGGGTATTCCATCAGTGAGATTAAATAAATAATATATAAGATACCAATAAACGTATAAGCAAAAATTACACTACCGTATTTGGGAGATTTTCTCGCTTGAAGAAAAAATGATCATCCTTGTTCGACGTTGTGCCTTAAGCAGGATGGGAGTTCTGGGGGTGGAATTTGCCATCATGCCAGCCTCGAGATGAAAACAATTGACCTTCTCGAGAGAAAATGTGGCCATGTGAACGATATCCGGAGCGTAATCGAGTAAGGAGGTGTCTGACAGAGCGAGTCGACGGTGGAGAACAGACTGTGCCGTCGGGAGCTGTGAGCGCTGGAGTGACCGGTGACTGGAGTCGGACCGAAGGAGGGGCAGCAGTGAGAGACGAGAGTGGGAGGGGAGTGGTGTCCTTACTGTGGGAGAGAAGGGTACTCCTCTTTCAAAAGATTCGAGGGATGTAGGGGCACATTTGCCTGGTTTCGACGACTCACGCACCCATGCATCGCTGAAAGTCACCGGCTCTGGAGTTGGGCCCAATTGAGACAATTGAGATCAAACTTGCCATCTTGCCTCTCGTCCTATTGACGACGCCTGCTCGGTGCTTGGCGATCATTTTGAAAGAGCGAGGGGAGGGGAGGGGAGGGGAGCAGGAGACCGAGAGCAGGACAATTGAGCCTAGGATTCAGACGACAACAGATTGAGGCTCAGAGAGGGGAAATGTTGAGGGTGCGAGCAGCGTCTTTCTTCACTGGATTCGCTGTGGCATCCGGCATGGCGATGTATCAGGTGCAGAAAGAGGTGTGGTCGAGTCATCAAACGTTGTCTGCCCAGGTGGGCTCTCTGTACCCTAAAAAACCTGCTGTTCTGCTCTCTGCCCAATGTGCTCTGCTCTTCATTCTTCTCGGGCGGATTGGCTCGCAATCTGGTTCCAAAACGTTGTGTTTGTCACCCCCGATGCCTCGAGAGTCCAGCTCGGTGGATTAGATTTACATCACAGCGCATCTGCCGTATGTCTGTTGGCGCAGTTTCCTGCTGCCATGAGTACATTGGGGCAATCTTCTTGTGGACCGGCATTGCAGCGCAGCAATCCTCCTCTTAGTGGCAAACTTCTGTCGAGCATAGTTAACCAGGAATGCTGACTCCTCTGTTTCCGCGAGGGGGCAATGACCTACTCTGATCGCTTGGAATTACGAGGTCGTCCCGAGATTTGGGGACGTAAGCTTGCTTTTGTGTTGACTGATCTGCTCCTCTGCTCCAGCAGTCTCGATTGTAATATCGGAATCCTGAAATCGAAATTTAGTTCAGGACTGTGTCTCCGATGAACATGCCCCGATATTTGTCACTTTCTCGTCTCCATCTTCTTGCTGAGGACGTGGGATTTTATTTGCCTCATAATATGCATTTGGAAGCGTTACATTCCGAAGCACCGTCCTCATGCGAGGTATTTGTTGGATGGTCTAAGATACTCTTACTTCGGAGCAAAGGAAAAGTTTTTGTTTTTGTTTTTGTTTCTAAATGCCATAAGTTTCAGAGAAGTGCACGCTCTGCGCTTCTTCTGTCTCTCTTTTCTTGAATTTGATGTCTTTGTGTTTGCTCGAGTGCTCGTAGTCACATAGCAACGGAACCAAACAGTCTTATGATCCTTTCAACGTAACATAATTTCATCCGAAAGTGTGCTTCATGAGATCTAAGTTCATTTACCTCTTGGACTTAAACCCTTGCTTGTATTGTCATGATTGCGAAGATTGTAGTCCGATGTGTTTACTGTCACTTGCAGTTTGTCCACTGCAAGAGCTTTGTACATCTTACACTGAAGTTTATCCAGATCTTTAGGAATTTGTTCAGGTCATGACTACGTTCGAAGGTTGTGGCAGTAATGTTTTGTACAAGCAGTTTTGTATACTGAGAGTTAATAGTATGTAAGAACTTGATGAAGCCGGGAGCAGGTCTATACTTCTCAAATATGAGAGCTCATTGTCACGTGTGATCTATGGCTTGCAATTGGCAGGCACAAGAGTATCATTCAGATTTGGAGTCACGGATAGCTCGTCTGGAGAAGTCCACCGGCCTAGGATCGAAACCGAAAGAGGTCCGTATATACCCACTTTCGATGTTAGGTTTTTTGTATCTTTCCGTCGTTGACATTTGATGCTATTTGTGGTCTTGGATTCGTGAAGGACATCAAAGTAGGCAGGTCTATAAGCTCATTACAATGGCTGATAATGGAACATAAAAAAATTGACAAGTTTAATCCTGTTACTCACAATTCACCTAATTTTGTGCTTGGGACAGTCTGACCATACATTCTGACACGCTGCCTTAGCAAATCGAATTTCTTGCTACATTATCTTTCACACTGAGATGTCTCTTGAGGTGTATTTTGAGGGAATGAGTCGAAGATTTATCTGGAATTTTGAGTTTCTTTTGCGTGTATTTACAGGAGGGATGATATTAGCTCAGTGTATTTTTAAATCGCAAAGACAAAGATAATTTCTGGAACTTGTTCAGAGCACGACTTTGGATCCGGTTTCTTTTCATATCCTGAGTATGCTGGACACTTCCGAGCTAGAAGCAGAATTAGTAACAAAATTGTGTCACGTTTCATTCCTGTAGTTTATTATCTCATGTTCGTGTTCATATCTATTGCAGAGCGAGTAAAGGCTGCTGCCATCATGTGATACAAATCAAGTGCAAGGAGATGTAATCAAACACACAAGATTGTAGGTTGATTTTGAAGCCACAGGCCTCTTTTTGCAATCCACCTAAATTCTCTACGAGTAATAGTCACGTCTTGCAGCTTCTGCGCTTGTCAATTTTCTCCCTCAGCATGTAACTAGATTCAAATTTGAATCTCTCATCTTTTACTTGTTGATGCGAAGTGAGAAGCTCTATGATGGTACACAAAGTTTTAGACAGTTCTAAGGCAGTGTCTCGTGTACCACTTATTGTTTACAACAGCATTGTCGTCGTCCTGGTGAAACTTGCAGGTTGTAGCTACCGAGAGAAGTAGTTGTTCATAAAACATGCAAACGCCCAAAAATGAGTGTCCAGCTTCTTTCACTTTCTTGATGGAGAAGTTGAACTGAATAAAATTTTCCTGGGACCTGAGTGAGGAAGACAATCTTTTCTCCGCAGATTTCTCTGAAAACTGGAATGAAAGTATCTCTGCATGATGTAGGTTTTGCACGCGAACGTCACGGGCATCAGTCACCTTCTGTGTCCAGTTTGTTCGGTTTTCGATCATGCCAATCTATTGGGCAACTGCTATCATCGGAAGCCATCAGTGGAGGAAGATTTGTTGCTATCCCTCGCCCAATGGTGTAGCACTTTAACTTTCGGTCACTGGGAAAGTCTGGGACAATCAATTGGTCTTGAACTTGGTGAATTTCGTTCCCCTTGTCTCCATCTCGAGTGGTGTTTTAAATTTCATTTTGTGCTTAAAATCAGGATAATGCAAGAGTCGGAACTACCATTACTATATACCAAACACGATATAGAATGGAAGAACTGAGCAGAACGGTCGATCTCACCTCTTACATTGAATATTGACATCAAGTGGTAACACGGACCTTCGTAGCCTGGGTTAATGACAGCGTAGTTATACCTGACGGTGGACCAGAAAAGTAATAGAGAAGTGTGCGTGGAGAGTGGAGACCTGCCTCAGTGATCTCTACTGGCCACCTGCATTTCTCGCCCGGTATGCCCAAGAACGAAATCACTTACCGATTTCGACAGAAAGCAGAGAGTGGAAGGAGTAATTGGCATTAGAACCATCTAGAAACACTCTGCCTACTTGACCGACACAGTGAGGAGCATCTCAGATAGGTGTTGTTTTCCGTAAGTACGATGAGAACTGCCCCTTAAACCTTCCTGTTTAGTGCCACTTCCAGTTACTGTGGAGTGTGTCGATTAGGCAGGCCCTGGATTCGAAAATACAAAATTAACAGTTGGACCTACGGCTTGTCTGAGACGGTGAAAGAAGGGAAAGACGATGTGCAATATGTGCCTTACGCCACTTGGGCGTCAGGTCTGCGGTGAGCCTCAATAATGTTTGATGTCAAAGATTTGCTTTTCCCTACCTCCTCAGAAACTGAAGAATTTAGGATCCCATCCAAGTATACTGCCCCTACCACTATTTTGGATTAACATTACAAGAGACGACACATTGATCGCTTAAGGAGGTGTACATCCGTTTTGCCTACCTATAATGTTTTCTTTCCTACCGGAAAAAGAAGAAGATTCTCACGACAAGATATACTCTCTTCTTCAAGCCTTTCATACGGTAGTCGCAACCAAATAAACTCTCATAACATGTTGTGTTCATATTTTTTGAAGTACTAAAGAGACTTCCAAATAACATACATGTACAATCGGGTATTTTTCAACTTGCGTAGTAAAATAGGAACAAGTTATTGCAAAGATCGTATATATGTTTATAGATCATATGATTATTGGAGACCAGATGAAGGTTAAAATATATACAGCTTACTAGTACACTACGTCTTCATGAAATGAACTAATTATCGAATGTAAACTTTGAAATAAAAGAGTAAAATGTATTCATCTTGTGAATGAAATTAGTTGATTTTTTTATGAAATTTTTATATAGACTTCTGCACTATGATGAGATTTTGAAAATATATCTTTAAAATATCTTTAAAAAAATATTTTAAATCTGTAAATTTAAAGATTTGGAAAAATATAGTATCTTAAATTTTCAATAGGCTTTTTGAGTCAAACAAAACAGTGCTTTTAGTTAGTGAATCTGTTGATCATAAGTAAATTCGACAAAAACTATTCGAATACACTGTTTCACACCAAAGATGATGTGATAATTTGATGAGGTTTGTACTGCATGATAATAATAATTGAACACGATTCATATTCATATGATCTAGTAATCATTTGATTTTGTTACTAATATGCATCATATCATATACATACTACAGTAAACTTGTGTAAGTTAATAATGGCGGGACCGAGAGTTCTGTATTAAATTAGACAGGATATTAGTAAAGAGAGTATCAATAAAAAGTTCTCCTTCCATGTCATTTGTAACATTTGCAACCCGTGGCGTTCACCTTGGATAACAACAAAACCATAACCATAACTGCAGCCACAACCAAAACCTCAACACAATGACTTCAAAGAGATTCATCAATACGAACATGATCAAGGAGATTTTTATAGCTCTTTGTAACCACAAGAATAAACACCCATTGCTTACGCAAGCAGACTTGATCAAATGGCTTCAAGAAACTCATAATGTTTCTGTAAGTCAAGGAACGATTTCTATTATGTGTACTCCAGAGGCGATCCTGAATATTTTTTATAATGATAATAACTATGGCAAATTACTCTATCAATTATTAACTTTTGGAGGTTTATTTATAAATGTACGGGGCCTCACTTGGGACTAGATCGCACACATTAATTATCACAGGTTATTAATTTAGGCAGTATTAATTTAGACAAGTTCTACTATAGTAGAATTTTCAATAAAATAATAAAGTAAATATAGCAATTCATTAGCAACATATCACAAAAATAAAGATAAAATTTTCTTACGACTTTCATAAGTTGAAAATATAAATTGACTTCAAGAATTTGAACACTGATTTATCATTCAAGAATTCGGTCATATATTTTTGTGTAAACTGTTAACAAAGATATTGATCAATTTTAGCTAGCATTATCATGATTATAAAGTCCAATTAACCCTCAATATATAAGATAATGTTTCATAACTTTTAATGATAGATAATCTATAATTTCCAAATATAACTGGGTAGCATTAGTGGTGTGAATCACATATTTCTTTTATTTGCTTTGTGATTCTTATTGATGTATACGTCATATCATCAAACATCTACAATAAATATTTGAACAAAGTTATTAGAAATATATTAATGATGTTAGATATTTGATCTTTTTTAATCTTAAAAAATATGATAAATTGCATATATCAAGTAAGAAGAATTGCTTGTTTGTGCTTGTTCTTGTCATCTTTTGTTGATTTGTTTTGTGAAAAAAGTGATTTTTACATAAACTAAAACAAATCCTAATGATTTGTTATTGGTATCAAATTAGCATATATGGTTAGCAGTTTTTTTTAACTCTAATTTTTTTGGAATAAAGATACAAAAAAATCAGTATGCATTTAATTATAGATCTATTTTTATATAGCTCAATCAAATTCATTATATATGAATTTATAAGTGTTAGACGTGAAACAAATTTATTTAACTCTTTGTCACAAAATTTTTTTAAAAGTGAAATGTTATTTGCCCAAATTATGATTTAAATTAAAATATTAACTCCCATAATTTATTTTAAACTTAAAATAAAATATAAGAGTTTGAATTTGAATGACATCACATTTGAAACAAATTAGCGGTGGATTATTTTTTGTAATTTTTTTTCTCTTTTTTCTTTCTTTGCTAGGAAGCATTATTATTTTAAAGATTACAAATTAAAAAGTACGCCTGATGCAAGGTGACATAATTGATAACATACATACTAAAAAGAATGTAAATTTATAACATAACAACCATAAAATATATTATAGTGACTAAGTTTGAGATTGTAAGGTATAATTTTTTTATATTGTACCTTTAAAAAAGAGAGTAAATTTTCTCAGTAAAATTAAATTCTTAAAAGAGATAAATTTATGCTTAAAGTTAATAATTGTGATAAATTGCTCAAGCTGAAGAATGAAATCATTTCAAAAGATGAATGAAATGATATGATTGAAATAGCTATTTACAAAACTCTATTATATGCAAAATGTCTTTTATTATCAATTAGTAAGTGAGTCTAAGATGAACTTCAACAAATGTACTATTAAAGCAGCCATCATATTATTTCTACACAAATGCAACAGCTAATTATTACTCACGGCAAGTCATCTAAAAAATACAACATCCAAATTTATAAAGGCTTAAAACTGGAAGTAGCAGATTGCATGTGTACAATGATCATTACTCATTTATTGTATGGAAAATTTGTTATAATTTTTTTTTCAAAATAGTAAAATTTAAATTACTTCTTGTCACAAGGAACGATTAATAAACATCGTCGCAATTCAAATTCTTCACCACAAAATTTCATTGGTAGAAGCAATGTGTAGAAAGAACATAAATCTAGTGAATGCTAGCTCATGATTTGAGCTTATTAGAAATTACTCTTTGAAGATCAATAATATGATCTATTTAGTAAATTATGAATTTGAAAGTTAGGGTTAATATTAACTACTTTAAAAATAAACTAGTCGCAAGATGTATATAATTCAATATGATTAATAATTTTTTTTAAAAAATTTAGCAATTTATTATAGTTTATGATATGATTTTTGATTAAGATCACTTAACTTATAGATCCATGCATGAGGATAATAGCTTTTTGTGGTTCTTTTATTGGGTAATTGCCTATTAGAGTACGTGGTAAGGTCAACGTTGTCGGAGTCAAAAGCTGAGTACTCGCAATAAGGTATTGGAGGAGGATGAGTGGAGACGTTGATGTGGCCAAGTTCATTTGACGTGTACACATAGTATATAAAAATATTCTAGCCAATCAGAGAAAACATATAAACAGTATACCCCTAAAAATCAAAATACTATAATTGATGTTTTAAAAAATAATTTTCAATGTTTATGAAAAATGATTGTAAAAGAAAATAAAATGAAATAAAATAAATTAAAAACTGCGATTTGATATTTTCTTATTTGAAATCATTAACGATATTTTTGAATTTATCAAAAAATATATTTTGAAATTTCAACTGAAACATATATATCATTATTTCTAGATAAATTATATACATATATAGACGAATAAAAAATATATTTAAAAATATTCATATAAAATATGTTCATAAGTTTTTATTTTGAGGAAAATTCTAGAGATATTTCCAAATATTTAAAATAAGTAGAAATTTTTTAATTTCAAAGTTTATGACTTGAAATATTCAACCTAAATAATTGATATACAAGTTTATTTCAGTTTATGATCTTAGCGTTAGATGATTAAAAGTATTCATGAAATATAGAATTATTTTCAGAGTTTGCAAAATCAGCAACATAAGTTGCATTATTGCATTAGTTTTTTGTTAAAATATAAAGATTATGATTCAAATCAATTTGCTATGATATTTTAGATAGCTAATATATCAGGAAATTTATAATTGATATTGAATGGACTTGAAGTGCATTATTTTTTATTTCTATTCTTCATAGTAGGTTTTTGAATTCATAAATATCATCAATAAAAATGATCATGTGTATATTAAAAAACGTAAGTTTTAAAAATTTATACTTTTTAATTTGACTTGTTATACATTATTCATGTAGTAGCATTGAGATAGTATTTGAGGATGTTGATATATTTGTTGTTTTTTGTTTCAAATATTTTGAATTTTCATGTCGTGATCTTTAAATGATTTTGATCTTGTAGATTTTCTAGCATCTTAACTGTTTTGTTGCCTTATGATTCACATGTGTGAAGTTGAATACACATTTTCCATTTGAGTTTTATGCAATAGAAATTTTTTCAATTTCAAAAATATATTTTGATTCATTGCATTATGAGGTCAATGCAATCAAAAATTTTACCTATTATCCAATAACTACTTTCAGAGATGGGTGTTAGCAATAATTCAAGTCGGCAAAATCCTAATATAATAAACTGTCGGTGACAATTTTGGCAGTGTACTGAACCCATCAGTGACCGTGGGCGTATGCATTTAGAGAGTACAGTTATGGTTTTTGTCTTCCTATTAAATTAGTAAGCGCGACAAATCTACTCTTCTTGCCTTACTATTAAACTAGTAAGCACATCAAATCTGATCTCCTTGCCAAACATATCATTTATTTGTTCCTATGAACATAGCTAGGTTGGACAAACCAGGTATATTGGATATCGGTGGACATGCACAAGGAGAAGACAGTTAGGGTTCTTGACTTCCTAATAGACTACTAAGCGCGACGAATCTACTCTCCTTGCCAAACATATCATTTATTTGTTCTTGCAAACATAGTTGGGTTGGACAAACCACATATATTGGGTGTTGGTGAGCATATGTAATTGGAGAGTATAGTTGGGGTTTCTGCCTTCATATTAAAACTTTTGGCTAGATCAACATTGACCGTATCCCATCCGGGCTGACGGCAAGGGTACACCGTTTGCGGGGTCATTGTCACTGTCACCCAGGGTTTCACCATCACTGTAACCCATGGTTTAGCATTTCGCGTGCTCACTCGCTTACTCGTCCGGAATGTTCAT